GATCGAAACTTTTAATCTCTTTATAAGCTATTTTTCAACTTTATATATAGACGTCAGGTAACGCTTTTACTCAATGTGGAAAAACTTTAATCAATATTTTTTTTTGCTAAACAAAAACTTTAATCAATATTAAACGGTTTAGATGTACCATGTATAAGCTTTAAACGGTTTAGATGTACTTTAAGCTTTTAATCTCATATCCTTTATTGAGACGTCAGCGCTCGCATTGCATGTATCAACGACCATTCTAATAAATGATAAACTTAAACAAATAATTTATTAAATGAAAAAAAAAGAAATCATTAAAATTGTAATGTTGGATAATGAGAGGAAGGAGGCGTACGGCCAAGACCGTCTCCGACGAGCATCCAGTCACCGTCTTTGTCTTCATAAGAGGGAACATAGTCACACATTTGTAAGTAAAAAAAAAAATAATTCACATATTTTAATATGAACAACATATGTACTTATTTCTTTATCGAGAATTTTAAATATATGAATGTAACTCTCTAGGAGATAGCTGCATGTGTATATCGTATGTAAGAGATCTTTGGTCAATGGGTTTTCGACACGTGTATGGATCTCAACCCCTCGATGAAGTTTTGTTGCTCGTGTGTTAGAGTCTTTAGGATAATCACTACCCTTATTATACTGCTATTGAGTCTCTCTCTTGGAGTTTATAATTTTATAGGCTGTACATGATTGCACTCAGTGGCCGATGCATACAAGAATTTTATGGGGAGGCAAACAATATATAATAGGGACATAATATCAATTTTGGCAAGATTAGTTAAACTAAATTGTAATAAATTACAAAAAATTTAAAAATTTCATGGGGGGCATATGCCCCACCCTTTCCTCACCAAGCTCCGCCCCTATTGCACTGCATTTATTAAGCAAGGCACCTTCTAATTATTTTTAAATATAAATAAAGCTTTCTTTAATATTAGTAACTCAAGCTATTGTTTCAATAATTTAATAGTTTCATATACTAATTATGTAATTTCGTTAATCATAGAGAGATAATAAAACTATAAGTTTGAGAATATTCAATTCAATTATGTCATGAATTGAACCTTATTTTATGCACTTCAAAAAAATATATATATAGAAAAATTTACACATTCTTTCATATGGACTTTAAACCCACTATACAGTATATTAGATAATTTAAGAAAATTATTCTCCGTTTTATTCACTCAACATCACGTATTTACTTTCATTATAGTTCCAATGGAAATAGACATTCTTTTGGGTGGCTAGGTCGCAGACATCTCACCATATGAGAGTGTATCAAGAGAGATATAATATCATACTGGTTATGCATTTTTTGGTTCCCATATATGTATTAACTTAAAATTTTAACCGTAACCATTTTAAA